GGAAGTAATCTCTGCACAAATCGTGAAACCTTCGTCTCCTACACCTCAACATCTTCGTCGCTATAATCTCTCCTTCCTCGACCAGATCACTCCCCAAGTCAACAATTCTATGGTCTACTTCTTCGATGCTGCTGCACAAAAATTCGACATCATCGACATCTCCGACCGCCTCAAGAGATCGCTATCTCAAGTCTTAACTCAGTATTACCCACTCGCAGGAAGACTCATGGCCAAGAACTTAACCGTAGAGTGCAACGACGAGGGTGTCCCATACACAGAAGCCAGAGTCCGGTGCCGCCTCAGCCACGTCATCGACGACCCTTCTCCGGCCGACGTTGGCGAACTACTTCCGTTTAAAATGGATGAAGCCGTTGACACAGTCCTAGGTGTTCAGTTTAATGTCTTTGAATGTGGCGGAATGGCCATTGGTATATGCATCTCCCACAAGATCGCCGATGCACTGTCTTACTTCCAGTTCGTGAAGAGCTGGGCCACCGTGACACGCGGCGGCAACCCGGAACACATCACGACCCACTTCGAATCATCCGCACTCTTCCCGCCAAAACACATGCCGGGATACGACCCGGATTGTCTCGTCCCGAAGGAAAAGATCGTGTGCAACAGATTCGTATTTGAAGCATCTGCAGTAGAATCTCTGAGATCAAAATACTCGGAGAAGGTGGCGAAGAACATTCTGGAAGGCCAGAAACCACCTTCAAGAGTTGAAGTATTGTCAACTTTCATATGGACGAGGTTTCTTGAAGCCACTAAGGGGGAGAAGAAGAAGAAGAAGGAAGCAAAAAGAAAAAGATTCAGTTGGTGGCATGGGCAGCAAATCTACGACCAAGAATGGATCCTCCATTACCAGAATATGCGTTCGGCAACTATTACTGGCCGATGAGAACGTTTCCAACGTTAGACGAGAAAGGAGAATGTCATGATATGGGAAGGAAGTTAAGAGAAGAGTTAAATAAGATGGATAAGGGTTTTATTGCGAAGCTTCGAGAATGTGAACAGTGGAATCCTCAACAGAAGAAAGAAGAGATGGTTAGATCAACTGGTGGTGGGGAAGAAGGAGAGATTGCCGCGTTTGCTTTCTCTTCATTGTGTTGGTTTCCGGTATACGAGGTTGATTTTGGTTGGGGGAATCCGACGTGGGTGGGACCGCCAACGTGGAAATTTAAGAATGTGGTTACCTTCAAAGACACTAAGTCAAGCGGTGGCATTGAAGCTTATGTTAGCCTCACGGAGGAGGACATGGCTAAATTTGAACACGATGAGCAACTTCTCGCACATGTTTCTACTGCGGGGTTAAAATGATGTTTTACTTGCTCTGGATTTATCGTATGGCTTGGTTGTTTATTTTAGGGTTTACTGTACTATAGTCAATTGTCCACTTTCATTTGTCAACTATATAATAAGTTTCTTGATGATGGAAAGTCATAATCGGCTTTACTTTGTTTGGTACTAAGGAGTCAAAAGTCTAATCTCCCAAGAAAGTGTTATAAAATGTTTACTTGTTAATTTGAATCAATAATGTAATTTTGATTAGGAACTTGTTGGTAGAATGATTAGGTTACAAGAGTTTTTTTTTTGTACTACACACAGGTATTTTCCGGTTAAAAATAATCCTATTCGAAATACTGTTGAGCACAAAATATGAACATTTTTCTTAACAAGGATTTGAACTTTAGTTCGCTATTCTGTTAGACCCAATCCTTGTTGGTAACTTACGAGAGTTTTTTTCTTTTTTTGGGCTAGGGTAGCTTACAAGAGTTAATAAATTTGTCAAATACTACTCAAATCAACTAAATTATTTACTATGCTCTCTAATATGATAAAGCATTTTTAAAACGGATGTTAGCTTCATCATCTAACTTCTGATACTTGCTAGCTATTCTAGTTTGATTTGAAAACACATGAATTCTTTTATTTAGAAGATAGACACTAACAACTTAAAATTAAACCAAGAGATCATTGGTAGCTTGCACGCATTGTCTAAGCTCAATTTTCTGTTTATAAAAAGTTTTCGATTGGTTTTATTCATAAAGAAAAAATTCAAAAGTTTAACCTTATAAGCTTAAACAAAGTAATTTAAAACGTTTACCGTAACAATTAGTAAATTTTCTGTCAGCGCATAACTTCTCGTTAGATTGATTATTAGTTCACAAAAGTCAGGAGTTACTTGTGCCCCTCACGCACGCTTCGTAAGTGGCTAGCTAAGACAAGTTATAACTTGTAAATGAAGGAGATATATATGTGTATATGTGTGTGTGTGTGTGTGTGTGTGTGTGTGTGTGTATTAGATTTAATAAAATGAATGAGCAAGCCGGATTTTAATTTTATATTATACACACACAAATATGTTGTACTCTTCGTGTCATAAATGATGTAGCAACTAGTAAAGGGTGAATTTTACTACCACCTCTGGTGCTTAATACTACCTCTAGTTCTTAATATAAGAGCTAATTAACTAATTTAAGTACGTAGATTAAAAAATTTATTATATTAGTTATTTATAATAAATATATGTTCTCTTTCTAAAATATCCTTACTAATATGTGTATTAGCTAAAACTACTATTTGATGGAACGTTTAACATGTGCAACTACTGCAAGGACTACTTTGACAAAAAATAAATAAATATGAAAGACAAAATAGAATAGAGTCTTGTATTTAGGACCAAATTAAAAGTCAAACTAGCTCTTATATTAATGACTGAAGATAGTATAACGTAAGAGCTAGTTGACCAATTTGAGTAAATTAAAAAAATTAGTTTAGTTATTTGTAATAAATAAGTATTGTCTTTTCAAAAATATTATTACTAATCAAATGTATTAATTAGAATTATCATTACTACAACAACTATATTAAAAAAAAAAGGGATAAATATAAGAAACGAAATAGCTTGGATCTTATATTTAGAATCAAAACAGAAGTCAAATTAGTTTTTACATTAAGGACCAGAGATATTATTAAATGTAAGAAATTAATATATTTTATCTCTTGTATTTATTTTTTCTTTCAAACTAATTTATCAAACTCATAAATTGATATTCCCTCCGGTTTATAATATAAAAAGTTGATTATAAAAAATTTTGGTCTAAAATATAAAAGGTTGACAGGAATACAGGATAATTAATGATAGTTTTTTACTTTTAACCTTTGTTACAAGAAGGAGAGAGAATTTTAAATGTAAGAGAAATGAGAGTAAATCAAAAAGTAAAATAGGTAATTTTTATCAATTTGAAACAAATTTAATAACTTAACATTTAAAAATATCAAATCCTACCTACGCCACTTTCTAAAACGAATCCTCCCGTGGGAGCTCCAACACAGGTGACGGCTATGGCTTGATGACTTGCTGCCGCCGGGATCTTTCTGTTTGAACTTTAAAATTTCAATTTAGGTGTTGCACTTTTCTGAAATCATGTATGTGGGGGTTCCAATTCGAGCATTTCATATTTTCAAAGTTTTTTATTAGCCATTTTCCCAATTGTTAAGATCTAGAAAAATTGAGAAAAAAATATGAGACGTTATTTTGCATATTTGTAAGATTTACGAAGAGTTTTAAATCCTCAAAAGTGGTCTAAATTAAGGAGTATTCATCACCGAACTCAAAAATAGGTTTGGACTAAACATAGGCCCAAACTGCACTGCCCGTGACCAAAGAGATTAGGTTCAGATTGCCAATCGATAATGGGCCAATGGGATAGCAAAAGCAAGCTTATGAATAAGCTATTTTATGGACTAAAGGACCAAATGGATGGAGTCTAGTAAAAAAAAAAAAAAAAGGAGTTTTTCATAATTTGAAAAATTAATATTCGAATTTCTATTAAAAATTATGTTCACATTTAGTACTTAACACTCAAACAAGATTGCCTTATAAATTTTTTTTTTATTTTTAGAAGTTTTCCTTTTTAGTACTATTCCATCCCCTCTATTTTCCTTTAGTAACTTTTTTTTCTCCATCCAAACATAGTTTAGATTTCACCTGGAGTAAGCCTTCTAGTCATCTCTCCTTCCCTTCTTTCTTCCATTTGCAGCGTTCTTGAGAATATGATAAGGTATATAAATACACACACACACATATATGCGCATTATTTGCAAGTATATTGTTGATATTCTTAAACAAGTATTAACAAGGCAAAAATCATTCTTATAGAACAATTATATCATGATACTGGCATCATCCGTTATCGTTCCAATGACATATAACCATGCATCAACAAGACGGCCGGCAGAAAATATTATGTGTGTGCTTCAATTAATTATTGGGATTGTTAATAACACCAAAAAGTGTATTAACAAAAGTGATCGACCTAGACTTTATATATAAATTGAGTAATATAAACATAAAGGAATATCCTAAATAAGAGACGCCAGTAAGAAGAGCACAAAACTGTCTGTTTCGGCCAGCAGAAGAGAATTAAGAAAACAGCTAGACAGAAAAAACAAAACAGCTAGCTTATACTATAGGATTAATTCGTTAATAACTTGTTGCCAATGGATATCGATCTACCAGGATACATACCTGATCTAACTCGAATTATTTACAAATATTTCAATGATTTAAATTTTATTACCTTACACTTAATATAATAGCTAGTTGGAGATTCCGTTTTGTCCTAAATATAAGATTTCAATCCACTTTATCTTCAATATTTATCCTAATGACAGACGATTGCATATATTAAGAAGTTTATATCAAAAGATATTTTCAATACACATAATTAGGATAAGGTATTTTAAGTAAGACAACATCTATTTTTTACAAATAACTAATTTAACTAATTTTTTAATATTTATAAATTAGTTATCTAACTCTTATATTAATCACAAAATGCAGTATTAAATTTTGTTTAATTATCATTGTCTCTTTCTCTAGTTAATATCACAATTTTTTAGTTTTAAAAATGTGGGTCATCTGCGTTTAAACGCTTACCGGTCCCAAAGATGCAAGTTCTAGCGTGTCTTAATATAAATAGATACATGCACTAATGATAACCAGAAGCACTGAGAAAATGAAGATAGAAGTTGAAATAATCTCTAAGGAAATCGTAAAGCCTTGCTCTCCTACACCTCAACATCTTCGTCATTACCATCTCTCCTTCCTCGATCAGTTATGTCCGGAAGTCAACAATTCATGGGTCTATTTCTACGATACTCGCACTTCAAACCTAGGATGCATCGACGACGATGCTTCCGACCACCTCAAGAAATCATTATCTAAAGTCTTATCCGACTACTACCCACTCGCCGGAAAACTCATAGATAACAGTTTCGTAGACTGCAACGACGACGGCGTCCCTTACATAGAAACCAGAGTCAGGTGTCGCCTCAACCACGTCATCGAGAATCCCTCTCCGGCCGTCGTCAGCAAACTGCTTCCCTATGAAATGGATGAAGCCGTCGACACACTTCTCGGAGTCCAAGTCAACGCCTTCGATTGCTGCGGAATGGCCATCGGAGTAAGCATCTCCCACAAGGTTGCCGATGCGCTGTCGTATTTCCAGTTCGTCAAGAGCTGGGCCGCCGTAAGCCGTGGCGAACCAGAACAAAAAATCAGAACCCACTTCCAATCTTCCTCACTCTTCCCACCAAAAGACATGTCGGGATACAACCTTGAATTTCACATCGACAAAATCGTGTGCAGGAGGTTCAGTTTTGAAGCATCAGTGATAGAATCTCTGAGAGCAAAACATTCCGAAAAGATGAAGAACCTTCTTGATGATGAAGACAATCAAAAACCCCCTTCAAGAATAGAAGTACTGTCAACTTTCATATGGACAAGATTTCAGGAAGCCACTAAAGAAGAAGGAAGCAGGAAAATTCACTTAGTCGCATGGACAGTGGATCTCCGCCAAAGAATGGAGCCTCCATTACCAGAATATGCGTTTGGCAACTATGTGTGGTTGATTCGAACGTTTCCAACGTTAGACGAGAAAGGAGAGTGTAATGACCTTGGAATGAAGTTAAGAGAGGAACTAAATAAAATAGACCAGGATTTCATTGTGAAGCTTGGAGAAGGTGAAAATCAGTGGAAAGCTGATCAACAGAGAAGTAGCAGTGGTGATGGGGAAGAAATAGTGGCGTTTGCTTTCAGTTCGTTGTGCAGGTTTCCAGTGTACGAGGTTGATTTTGGATGGGGGAATCCGACGTGGGCAGGACCACCTACGTGGAAATTCAAGAACGCTGTTGTGTTTAAAGACGCCATATCTGGCGGTGGTATTGAAGCTTATGTGAGTCTCGCTGAGGAGGACATGACAAAATTAGAAAGTGACGAGGAATTTCGGGCACATGTTTCTACCACAGGGTTAACTTAATCGACGATCATGTTTCTGGGTATATTTGTGAGGGTCGGGTGCTTTTCTCACAATTTAACTCATTCTGTTCTTGTCCTGTCGATTGTCCATCCACTGTCCTCAGTAAACGACGAGAGTTAATTGGTTGATTGATAGCAAGTTAACGGTTTGTTTCGTAAGGATAATGTCAAAAATCTTGTCTTCTATGAAGTATTTGGAGGCATTTGAATATAGTTGTTTCAGTTTATACATGTTCAGACATGTGATTGTCTTGTCCAATGACGCATTGTTTATCATAGTGCCAACTAGATGGTTCATATTTTATTATTATGAGAACTAGGTTATATAGTTTCTAATTTGCTTTTCAGTCCCATGAAGCCTCATTTATTTTCAGTTTTTCCCATGTCTGTGTGATGACCACAAGTCCAAAAAAAAAAGTAGACCAATTCCAAAAGACTAGCATATTAAGAAGGTGAGTCTCTTGAATATATAAACCCCACCATGTTTGTGAAACTTCTCAATATAAACCCATAACAGTTTATGACTCAAAGAAAGCAAAAGTTACGCAAGTTAATATTAGTAGTATCAAAATCATTTTGGCAATCGGTTTAGTAATTTGAGCATAACTTTCAAGTTTTGTTTGAATTGGGGTTAAAATGAGAAAGAGGTTATTAGAAAGAAAAACTTCCATTTGTTTCAGTTACTGCTTTTGAGAGTCTCCCCACCTAGTTTTATTTCCTCTTTATTATTTTGTTTCCCATCCGAACTTAAAAGGTTAATTTGCATACAATCTTGGACTGAAGTGGTTCAAGATGCATTGGAAATCTAAGAGAAAGGGATACAGCTTTCATGTTTTAATTGCTTGCTCCTTGATTTGCGTTTTGAGGTTGATGATTAATTGTCTCAACATTTTTGTTAATTCAATTTTATTTTCCATGCCATTCTGTTTGTCTGACCAACTTATAGAGTCAGTTGGGAATTTTAATTGAACTTGGAAATTAAAATAGAGCTCGAACTGAGTACTATAAAACTATGATTATCCAAATCTATTCTGTGCGAAAAATAGAAGGGACTAGTGTACTTTTGACGGAGTAGAGCAGTAGTGGTCATCGAAAGTTAAGCTTTGTGAGGGATTATAACATTATAGCTTTGAATAATCTATGTGTATTGAAAAATATTTATAAATGTAACACCTTATTTTCAAATTTTTTTTCCTAAAGCATAAGTATTCATTGAATAGAACATTTTGTAAACTTTGAGTAGAAAACAAGAAGTGGAATCCCAAACACGCAGGTAGTGGGTCTAGTGGAGGGTTACCCATCAAAAAAATCCACAAATATTTTTAGGCTTCAAAGCGTCCACAGTTATAAAACCAAATGCTTTTAAAATAACTAGTTTTAAATCTTCCAAGCAATAGGGTTGGATCTGGTAGAAAAAGTTAGTCTTCCATAATATGATAAATCAAGTTTTAAATCCTCGATAAGAGAGGTGCATATATTTAGTGTCAGATAGTGCTTTCCAATAGTAAGATACTTGTGCTTACAAAAAAAAATTTTAAATCTAAAATTTGTAATAATTAATTGACTAATTCCTACGCAATTTTTTAAAAAAAAAAAATTGTGCAGTTTTTTTATACGTAAAACATCTTTTATTACTGGGCAGTTGCCAACTACCAATAAATTGTTGATTATCTAACGAAAGCTACCACTCTCTTCTTATAAGTAGTAAGGAAAAAGTATATTTCCTGTAGAATAATTAATAAATTTATTTTTAATTTTACCTCTATTGACTTTAGATAAAAAAAAAATAAAAAATATTTTTTTCACTAAAAGTGGAACAGAGTAGTATTATAAATGTGATAATGCGATGTAAAATGAACAAGTGAATGGGAAAGGGATGAGATCGAGAGAGAGAAAGGAGAGCAAATAAGAGATAAACTGAAGGGAAATAATCGTTTGTAAATTCCATGTCCAGGTCTAGTATATATAGAATGAAAACCAAAATCTACTTATAGTAAAATATAATACAACTATTCTAATAATAAAATACTCAATCCAGTCCTATATATAAGCTCCAAATTTGGAGAGAGATGTGTGATCCATTTTATAATTGAATTAAGTTTCAATTAAGATTTGTCTAATATTTAATACATTTTTTAATGCTGTCTTTAATTATTTATTTCTCACATTTGCCATACCATCTTGTCATAATGCCCCATATGTTCTTTTTATCATTTTTCTCATTTATTATAAGGCATATTTGAACAAAACTAAACTAATTTTAACTACTTGTTCACTATCTGTAAATTAGTTATTTAAAGTTTCTAATAAGAACAGGGAGGAACTATTACAATACTAATAAATCCTAGAATAATGATAGATCCAAATAAATTCAATATATCCTAAAATTATATTTTACCCGAAATTATTTCCTACCCCATATTCCATCGCAATGTCATTAAACAACCACATGAATACAATGTTGATTATCAATAAATTTGAAGACTTTAAAGATCAATTGCGTAATCGATGTAAGGCAGAACTTTACTACAATGAAAGTTCGGATACATTCCTGAAGCCCAAATTGAAGCTGAGAATCAAAGAGATTGACCAAAAAGCTAGGAAAACAGGAGGGAAATTGGACTTCAGGCTTACAAATTTGGTCAATGTTAACCTCAAAATTAACAGATTAAAG